AAAAGCCCCCCCCAGCTTGGGAGAAGCAAGTATCTCCATAATCATGGAGACATTTACTTCTCGGCCTTGTGCTGCCCACCCCGCGCTGGCACAGTGTGCCAGCTCGCACCACCGTCGCTTGAAGATGGGCGTTCGGCTCTTTCCGACAGAGACCCCTCTGCAAGTGGATTCACTGGCTGAAGGGCCCTCCACGGCTCTGAAGCCATACAGTGAACACCTGCAGCCCACCTGACTGTGCAGGGAGTCGGTGTCCTCGCCAGAGGCGTTGGCAAGCTTGTCCCCACTCTCCTCAGTCTGGATGTTGGCGTCTTGTTGCTCAGGTCTCTGCCCAGACATGCTGGTTCCCACTTCCACCTGCCTGCGGATTTCTCCTGACGTCTGTGTTGCTGCCGTAACAGTTACCGGGGTGGACCGACAGTCTGCTGTAGCTTGGACCCCTTGATTCTTGGTGTGTGCCCACCTCTCTCGGCTCTCATCCATCGTCACCGCCTTACTCGATTTCTTCTGCATCCCTCTCCCCTCTCCTGGCTGAGCGCTTACAGGGCCGGTCCCCACAGACGCCCCAGCCTCTGCACCAGGCTGCTGACGGCCATCCCGCTGCGTCCTCTCAGGAACCAGGACCTGCCCACCACCGTCAGCCGCCTTGTGCTGCTGGGACTGCCAGCCACCGGCGTTTTCATGTACTCCAGCATCTTCCTGCGACCCAGGAAAACCGAACAGATTCCCCCTGCAAATCAGTTATACGCAGGTCAGGGTGACTGGTGAAAAAACGAGACAACCACCATGCTGCCACGCGGGCGAAAGCACTATGAAACTCCGACCCTGGCCGTCGTTCAGTTGCCTCTGAGCGCGGCGAACCCGGGGAGTCTCCCATCACAAAACCACTCCCCACCGTCTCTCCAGGGGTTCACACAGCAGCAAGGACGGCCAACGCCTGTAGGAACCAGGCGCTGTTCCCACCACTACCAAAGCAATCGCACTCCAGGCGCAGGCCCTAACCAGGCAGCGTCTTTGCAGAAGCCATGCCGCCTGGGAGCGGCTTCAGCGCTTCTCTGCCTGGACACTGGTACCCACACCTGGCATGAGGAGGCAGAGCACCAGCACAGATGCTGTCCAGTGCTTTCATGAGACCTGTCTGCCCTGTCCCGGTGCTGCCAGGCGCTATATGGGACTGTGCACTGAGCCTTACTACAGGCATACGTTCGGCTGCCCTTGTGCTCGTGGGAGCTCTGGGCAGCAGCTGCCTTCCATCCTGGCTGTGCATCGCCCACCCCGCAACTCCTGCTCATCAGTGTCTTCAGCGTAACTGCTCAGCGCTCCTGAGACACAGGTTACTCCTTCTGCACAGACCAAGACCTCACTGCCCTGTCGAAGGACAGAACGGAAACCACTGAAGAAGCAGGTTTCTACACCTGCTCCTCCAGCCGCACCCTACACTCTGCAGCAGGACAGCCAAAGCGACCAGAAGCAGCAAAACCAGAGGGACCCGGAAGGGAGACCATGCAGAAAGGGTAACAAACACGCTACAGCAGAAGATCATGGAGCAGGAAAAAGAAAAGGTATTTAAAGCAGCTGGAAGTCCGATTTCCATTCTCTCAAGCCCCAGATTTCACCGAAGCACTTCGGCCAGCTGGAATCGCATCGCTGCTCAGTCAAAAAGACACAGAGAGACAGTACTTTTCATACTTACCCCATTGTCCCCAACCTTCTAAGTCACCCAAAGACAATGACTTAGTGCAATTTCTTTGATGCAGAAAATGCACACGTGCACATAAATCCAACCAGGACTGGCAGGCAAAGACTGTGAGGAGTTACCTAAACGGAGAAGTGGAAAGACCATGACCTCTGGCCTCATCCTCTCGACGAACTTCACAGACACGACTAAACACAGATGATGCTTTCTGGGAGCTAGCAGTGCAGATTTAAAACAAACAAACAAACAAACAAGCATCAGGGAGTGGGAAAATCCCTTATTCAGCAAAACAAGAGTTCTCTAGGCCCTTGGGAAAGCAAGAGCTGGCACCGAGCTTGCCAAGCTGTACAGCCACAGACGAGCGAGGTGCTCAGTCTCAGAGGTCACGGGACAAGCTGCAATGGCGTTTCCATCCCTGACAGCCAACGGCAGCATAATGATTCCAGGAAGTTAGTGTGGAAACCCGCAGTGCCATTACGAGTTTCAGCATCTACCATCGCCAGTACCCGCCAGGGAGCACAGTTAGACCATTTACGGCTTGCTTCCCAGGGTCTTCGTGACACCGCGAAGGTACAGGGAACGGCAGTCATAAAGCCCCCACTGAGAGACCAAGTTCAACCTGGACCTCCAAAGGCATCCAGGACCCCCTCAGCCAGCCAGGAACGACTCCACGCACCCTCAGCACTGAGGTGTGACTGCTAGCCAGCATGCAACGCCGTGACAAGAGACTGAGCTCATTGCAAACTCTTCTCACCGCCCCAAACCCCTGTACTTCATCCAGGTGACTCTCCTGACCAGTCTCAGGACTGCTCACAGCCGGCACTCTGCAGCAGCTACAGCCAAGCAGCGCTGGGGGCTAACTGCCACACGAGACGGATACACACAGATCAAAAGACCAAGGGAGTAACTTATGTCTTGGTCAACACGCTCAACTCGATTTCAGTGTGCCAGTGCCTGGTCACGCCTCTATCAGCTTCATATCAGAGAGAGGATTCTCCTTCAGAACTCACACTCTTTGCCAAGGACCCACAGTAAGGAAGGCAGCAGAAAACCACCTGTTTGAAATTTCAGGGGTGGACAGGGCAGACCTGCACTCGGGACTGCACACGGCATGGAATTCTGCTTCGACTACAATCAGGAGGCAAGTGCTGGCATCACTAGGAAGCCGCCACCTCCGGTGGAAGAGGAGGCGGGACGCCCACCCTGCCTATGTCCTTGCAACCTGCGCAGAGCCAGAGCTGCTGTCACGGCTACTTCTGCCTCTGCGCCTCTTCCTGCCTCCCGCTGGCAGGGCGTGAGAACAGGCCCTGCCCAGACCCTGGCGTCAGCTGCACAGCAAGCAGCCCAGGTACCTGGCAGCAGCCCCAGCAGCAGCAGATCCATCCGATCCATCCTTCCTGTCACCGGCCGCAGGCTCTGAAACAAGAAGGAAGGGAAGTAAGATTGTGGTGTTGCCCGGACAGACTCTCCTGCGCCCTCCCAGCACCCAGACTCATTGAAGAGAGGTTCTGCAAGGCCGGACAAAGGGTGCCCAGGCCCAACTTCTCACCACAGACTCGAGTTTCTGCAAGTTTTAGGCCATTACACTCTCGCTGTTGTAGCTAAAATGCTGTCAAACTTTTTTGTCCAGATTGTACTTTTAAAACCTTCCCCCCCTGGGTACAGTCAAACTCCAGTTCCTGCCCTGTGCCATCGCCACTACACGTGACAATTTCCAGTCTTCTGGAAAGACCTTTCCTCACAAGAGAGGCCCCTCCTCTCTCCACCCTTCCTTAGAGCACTGCAGAAACAGAGAACCGAATGCGTGACACCGCCCAAAAGGCAAGAGAATTGCAGCGACTCGGAGCCGGTCTCGGGGAGAGCCGCAGAGAGGCTCTGAGAGAGGGCGGACGTCTAGCAGGGCCTGTACGCTTCGTGGTTTCCTCCTCTTACTTTCCAAACTGAATGGCAGGGAATCCTCGCTCCCGTCGTTCACAGGGGTGACCAGGGTCATTCGCAGAGAGAGTTTTGCATCAGGCTCAGGAACTGCACCAGACTCCTCCTTCTCGCACATTTCCGACATGTCTGCTGATACCACCGCACTTTCCACGGTGACGTTGGTGCCCATCGTGCCCTCTGCTGTAACGTCACTAGTTGCTATAGTGCTCTCCGGACAACTGTCGTCCACTGAAAACGGAAAAAGAGAAGAAAAGTAAACTAAAAAGTAGCTACTGCCACTCACGCTGGGGGCCAGGTCCCAGTTCTCTGACGGTGCTGCACTGCAGCCAGCTGGCAGCAGCGCAGAGCGGAGACTCCTGTCCAGTGCCCAAACCATCCAAGTTCCGCAGCAGGGTACCACCCTCGGCTTGCAAGAGAACCGGTACTGCTACCCAAGCAGGAACACTCACTTCCCTTTCTGTATGCTCCCGACACGCAGGGAGCAAACCCCTTCATCAGAGAGTGTGGAGAACGTGTGGGGATGGGACAATCCCTCCCCAGGGACCAGCAACGTCTTTGGCCAGGGCAGGTTTGAGCTACCCCATCAAGAATCAGCCGCTTCCAAACAGGGCCAGACTCACCAATTGGGGTGCTGTGTCTTCTGGGTCCCATTTTCAGCTGGCCGAGAGGAGGCGGCGTTATACTGGTCAGGGGCTGAATGACGTCACCCTCCTTCGGCAACGCCAAGTGGAACGGGGCTCCTGCAACACGGAGCGTGCCGGGATTAGTCATGTCAGGGGAACCTGACGTTCTGATACCCCAAGTACAGGCTCACTGCGCTGCGGGAATGGGGAAATGCGTGACCCTGGCACTGCCCTGTACAAGACCACCCTGAGCAGTTCCTGATCTCAGGAGAGCGGCTCTAAGTGACCTTCCCACTGGATTCAGTGAGAATCCGGGCTGCGGCCAGCTCGACACAGCAGTCCCCAGTGTGGCTACATACCCCGACATGGAGGGGACGTTTACAGAATGCAGCTTCGCCTCAGACATGCTCAGGATTTTCCAGAGAGAAGGGGGGTGATGCCAGGAACGGAAGGAAGGTTGGGACAGAGCGCATTGGCAGAATTATGTGTTGTCGGAATTACACAGAATGATGCTTTTATCCCCAAATGGCCTGGGATAAAGGGTCAGCAGACACGCTTCAGATAGCGCCTGGGAGGCTGAACAATTTGTAGCAGGTAATCAAGGGTCAGGCAACGACAGCAGAAGTTTGCCCGGGAAGTATGCGTTAAGAGATACTGCGGTTCCCTCACCAGCCCCAGGCTGCCCCAGAAAGCTGCCCCCCCAGGGTGACCCCCTGCAGCCACTGACCAGGAAAGGCCACCTGCCCTTCAGTGGCACAGAATGATCCAACACTACCAAAGAAGAGGCCGTCCTGGTCCCCAGAGCATCTCAGCCCCTGGAACCCAGGTGTGTGCAACCTCCAGAATCTGTCGTTTCTTCCTCACCCGAAGAACACGGCATGATGCAGCCGCACCGCTTGCACCCAAAGCTTGCCCCACACACCACTGTGGGGGGCAGCTCCACGCTCCGGCTAAGATGCTGCTAAGACACATCTAAATACCAGAAGTGAAGAATTTCAATCTGCAGCTGACGACACCCATCCCGACTGACGGCCAACTCTGCGAGCTGCCTCCGGCCAACCCTGGGAGCTGCCTCAGGCACGCTCCTGCTTGGCGTGCTCCCGAAGCCACCGGCAACCCCCCAGCAGAGACCCCCCCAGCAGAGACTGCGCTGGATTGAAGCGTTGCGCTCTGGGCCAACTGCAATTCCCCACCCTCACGCTCCACATGGAAGCACTTTGCTGTCACCTTACGAAGGGAAGCAATGGTCAAGGCAGAGGATGTTAAGGAACATGAACCCAGAAGAGCTCCCAACCACCCCACCGGTCCCAGTGCGTTTGAGACGGGCACGAGGTCACACCGATGCAGTCGTGACAGCAGGTGCAGCGAGCAGCACTCCGCAGGCCACGGTAATGCGTGGGACTGCGTACTGGGAAAGGGGAGCTCTTAAATCGAAACAGAGACCCCATAAGTCCTGAAGTACGGGGACTTTCACACAACTAACCATGTCCTATGGCTCAGAGCAGCAATCACTGCAGACGCTGTCCTGCTGCCAGCGGCGTCAGAGCGCTGTGGCCACGAGGTGCCACACGCCTTGAGCAGGATCTGAGCTTTGTTCTGTCTTACAACAGGTCAACAGGTAACTCGGAGCAAAGTCCAGCTTGAAAACTGCCGTTATCTTTCACTGGAAGTGCCCAAACCTGTTGCACAAGCATCCCAATTTCTTCCCCAACCTCCCTGTAAGGCCTACAGGCTCCAGTACTTCCCCGTCGTTCTGTCTCAACGCCGGAGCCTACCGTCACCGTCAGCCTGTTCCTGTCTCGTTCCTGCTCACCAGCCCGTTCCACACCACTACAGGTTTCTCTTTCTCACACTTGTCAGCAAATCTGGGATTAAAACCGCACCCGGGTACTACACTCCATCCCTCTCCAGCCGTGTCTCCATCCAACACTTCGAAGTCACCTCACCTACTCCTGCTCCGACACAAAGAAACCTCTTCATCCTGCTCCTTCGTGCATCCTCCCACTTTGACCTTCCCGCGCTCCCGACGTCAGCAGGGCTCGAGGTCCCAAGGACTGAAGAGAAGGGGAAGGAACTGCGTAAGAACAAGCTCAAGAGGCTTTTGGGAAGAGGCAGCCAAAGCCGCCGAAGCCAGCAGCGAGGACCAGTTTGCAGCTGGAAACGTGAAACGAGTTCAGGGAATGGCAACAAAACCTGTTGGAGCGAGACTGGCAAGGGAAGGCTGGAGAGGTTCCAAAAGAACATGCAGCTCTTGAAAGGACCCAACAGCAACTGGCAAGGAAAACGGAAAAGGTACCTCGCTGACAAGGAACAAAGTTACTGAGGCCGGCATCAACCGAGCGTGCCTGGGGAAAAGGGCAGCTGAGAGCTCGAATGTTTCCATGCAGCGTATGACAGTCACCTCTCAAACCCAGAGAACAGGCGCACCGGCACACCGGGAGCACTGCCCTGCAGAGCAGATGGTGGGCTCGACAAAAACACCCTGAGCTCGGCACGGCAAGGGAAACCGGACCCAGCCCACAGCTTCAGTCCCACACCCCAAATCCCAACCTGGTCACTCTGAACATGCCGGATTGTTCTCCAACACCTTCACTGCCTGAGGTCTCATTTCATTCCCACGGCGCCACAGTCCCACTGATTCACCGCTGTAACCCCAGGGCTCTGGTAACGCACAGGGCGACCTACCCGGCTCAGCAGCGGGAAGTGAAATGACCCTCAAAGAACACCCCAGCCCCGTCAGGGGACGTGAACACAACCGTCACCCAGCTACAACCAACGCTTTCACACCCTCGGCTTCCAGTCAGCAGCTCCAGCAGGAAGTCCCCCCCCATCACTGTAAGAGGTGGAAACTGTCTCTCTGATCCCGCAGCTGACTGCAAGGTGACAGACCTCAACGGCGCTGTGATTTGAGACAGACCTCTCCCGACCCTCTGAGCTGTTTCTGTCGCACCGGACAACAACCTCTCCAAAGGAGCCAAGAGGCAAAGGCTCCACAGAACGAGCATCCGCGCTCCCGGGGGCACACAGCGCCGGCGGAAGGGACTCGGTGCATCGCAGCAGGACCTGC